TTTCACTAGTGTCCTGTGATGGGATATGAAGCAATGGACACAAACTGAAACACAGGAAATGCCATCGGAACATCAGGAAACACTTCTTACTGTAAGGGTGACTGAGCATTGGCACAGGTTGCCAGAGAGTGTGTGGAGTCTCCCTTCTTGGAGATACTCAAAAGCTATCTGGACATGGTCCTTGGCACCTGGCCCTAGGTAGCCCTTCTTGAGAAGGAGGACTGGACAAGATGACCTCCAGAGGTGCCTTCCAAACTCAGCCATTCTGCCATTCTGTAATCTTTCTGATCTGATCTCACAGTCACAGTATCACAGTATGTTAGAGATTGGAAGGGACCTCGAAAGATCATCTAGTCCAATCCCCCTGCCGGAGCAGGAACACCTAGATAATGTTACGCAGGAATGTGTCCAGGCGGGTTTTGAATGTCTCCAGGGAAGGAGACTCCACAACTTCCCTGGGCAGCCTGTTCCAGTGTTCCGTCACCCTCACTGAGAAGAAGTTTCTTCTCAAGTTTAAGTGGAACCTCTTGTGTTCCAGTCTGTGCCCATTACCCATTGTCCTATCATTGTTTGCCACTGAGTAGAGCCTGGCTCCATCCTCGTGACACTCCCCCCTTTATATATTTATAGACACTAATAAGGTCACCCCTCAGTCTCCGTCCAAACTACAGAGACCCAGCTCCCTCAGTCTTTCCTCATAAGGGAGATGCTCCGCTCCCTCAATCATCTTCGTTGCCCTGCACTGGACTCTCTCCCGCAGGTCCCTATACTTCTTGAACCGAGGGGCCCAGAACTGGACACAATATTCCAGATGGGGTCTCACCAGGGCAGAGTAGAGGGGAAGGAGGACCTCTCTCGACCTACTAACCACCGCCCTTCTAATACACCCCAGGATGCCATTGGCCTTCTTAGCCACAAGGGCACATTGTTGGCTCATGGTCATCCTGTCCTGCACTAGGACCCCCAGGTCCCTCTCCCCTACACTGCTCTCTAACAGGTCATTCCCCAACCTATACTGGAACCTGGGGTTGTTCCTGCCCAGATGCAGGACTCTACACTTTCTCTTGTTACATTTCATCAAGTTATTCCCTGCCCAACAGGGAATAACCTTTAAAATAGACACTGCTGTGCCTCTTCCTGTCAGGCCCATACAATGTAAATTGTAGGCATATATGGTGCTTAGCATTCCCACCTCTGCTTGTAATGTACTGCTGGATGCATTTCCATGTACTGTGCTAGTGAACAGTGCTATCTCACTCTTTCAATTTCCATTCTTTTTCTTGGCAGCCTTCTAGACATCTATTCTCTCTTGCCTTGGCATATCTCTGACAGTTAGCAAGAGTAACTTTTGTTAAAGACAGGTGCTTTTGCATCTTTATAGAAAATTTTACATAAATTGAATGGGAACTATCAGTTTAACTAGAAAAGTTAGTTCAGAGATCATGACTTTGGATTTCCAGCATTTGAGAGTAGGAGTCCAATAAATGCATACAAGCCACAAATTATAGGTAAAATTCTTACTCAAGTAACTCTGGGGTACCCAGTTTTAGGGAATGAGTGAAAACACATCAGCTGAGCATTTGCAGATGCCTGTGATTATTCAGGCAATTTATTTAAATTTGCTGTTGCAAACAGAGTATTTGCAACATAAGTAGATGCACAGAAATCTGGGCATATCATGAATAATTAAAAAACACTGGCCAACAGTTTATTCCTTAATGAATTTTCTTCAAGAAGCAACAATCTTAGAACCTCTATTAGAAATGCCTAGAAGCATTACGATTAGAAATCAAATCAAAACAAAAAGGACTTTTCTTTTAACTGCATGTTTTTCCTTTCAGTACAGAATAGGCACATCTAGTGTACTTCTTTTCTGCTGTCTTTACCGCAAAGCTTTCCCAGGATACTGTATCTAGTCAGATCCACTAAAATAATCAGCAAATAGAAATGTCTTTAACCTAGTTTTAAAACCATGGCTTGGTCCAGTAAGATCTTGGCCAGGAATTTGTTCCACAGTCACCATCCATAATGACTGAGAGGTCAGAGGCTACTCTGCTACTCACAAGTGCAAATGGAACTGCAAATGTACTGAAGTTCACTTGCTGCCAATTGTAAGGGCAAGGTTTGTTTTGCAATAGGGCATGGAAGACTAAAATAACACAGGAAACTTGGCTGGTGGATAGGTCCAAGTGGACCTTGAAGGAAGTAATTACTTTGTACTACTGTACTCCCTCTTCCTCCTTCTGCTCTTTCACTTCTTTATGTGCTTAATTGTAAATTACCCTCCACTCCTTTCACTGGTTTAGTTTTAACTTGTATCAGTGAAGTGATACGGAAAGGCTGGTACTAAATTCCTGCTGTAAAAACAGTGCGAATGCTTGGTGTCTATGAGCTTCAGAGCACTCTGAGCACTGGAGCTAGCGACATTACAAAGCTTGTTAACATAAAATCTTCTTTGTGTTACATTTTTTGTAATACATTTTACAAAAATCTACCCTAGGGAACCAAGGGGCAGTTGCTTCTTTATTACATTTTAGAAGAGACACATTATTAGCGTTCCAGTCTATATATTATGAAATTAAGTGGATACCCTTGGGGTTAATTCCTTGTTGTAATTGTAATGAAAAGAAACAATTTCTAACCCTTCATTTAAGATCTATAACTATTAAAATCCACTAGTCTTAGTGACTCCTGGGGCCAGTGAAGTACTTCAGTGTACATGAAAAAGGGCACTCCTACAGTGTCCAATATCAGTAATTTATAAAAATAACTGCCTCCAAGTGGGAAAACTAACAAATGAGTTTCCATTGTGCCCCTCCCTGCTGTTTACCATTGCATGCTGGATTCACCAACTACGTAAAATTATATGCATATCAAAATTATGAAGCTGGGTTCCAAGATTATATTTTGCCTAAAGTGGGAAAGGTAGAGAAGGAATCACACAATACAGTGATTAAATACAAGGAAAAATCACAAAATGCAGCTATAGAATATCCTCCTAGGACAAAAAAGTTAAAAAGCAACATTTTTTTTCAGATGCTTCTCAGTTGGAAATGCTCCCACTTGCTTCAGCAAACTTTAACTGGTAAGAAAATACTTGGTTTTAAATAGTCAAAGTTTAACCATCTATTTCAAAAACGTTTACTTCCCTCTGAAAAGGCTTAATTTATTCAGTTTGGGAGGTATGTAGTAGTGACAATGCTATTGCCTATTTTCAATGTCTTTATTCTGTATGTGACTGTACTTTATGTGAGAATTCCTCCTCACTAGTGTTTTCCTACTGCCTTTAATACAGACAGCTTTCATGTCATCATATGTGGCAGGCTTCACTAGCTCACCTGCATGCTTGTAGCCCTTTTCACTTTCATAATGCTCAAAAGAGAAGCATTTTTGTAAATGAAATGAGAAAAGATGGATTTTAAAACCACAGTAGTTAAAGGGAGATGCAGGAATACTGCACTACAGGAATCTGTTATTAAATCACTTTTATGGACTGGCTAGGTTTTTATTTGGCAGCAAACCTTTAGCATGTAATTCAGCCTGTTAGTAGCAAAATAAAATGCACATCATCAGATACTGTGTTCCAATTTAATATGCTTATTAAGATCATTGTTTGCATTAAGGTAAAAATTCTGCAAGTGCATTATTGGCTAACACAGCATAAATTCCCATTTGGTATGCAAGCATGCTGAACAGACATACTAATTTAATAGTAGGAGACTTTTCTAGGACTTTGTTAGAACAGCCCGTAAAAAAAATCTCTTTAAGATGTCAGAAATGGTCTGTCTTTTTGATAAAGAGAGATATTTGTTTAGCTGTGGTTGACATAGCTTTAATATTTATCTCTCTCTTTTTATTCATCATAGTATAAATTCCCTTAGGAGAAAGAATAAGGGTCTTGCCAGACGTGAACAAAAGTAATAGTTGTTGTGCTTAAAGATACTATTTTGTCTACTATATCTATCTATCTACTACACTAAGTACTATACATACTATTATGTATGACTATTATGTATACGTACTATTATGACTCTTCACTGGGGGCTGTAGTGATAGGACAAAGGGTAACAGGTTAAAACTTGAACAGGGGAAGTTTAGACTGGATATAAGGAAGAAATTCTTTACTGTAAGGGTGGTGAGGCACGGGAATGGGTTGCCCAGGGAGGTTGTGAATGCTCCATCCTTGGCAGTGTTCAAGTCCAGGTTGGAAAGAGCCTTGGGTGAGATGGTTTAGTGTGAGGTGTCCCTGCCCATGGCAGGGGGGGTGGAACTAGATGATCTTAAGGTCCTTTCCAACCCTAACTATTCTATGATTCTATGATTCTAATGAAGTATGACACAGGTTACTGTGTACAGAGGAGTTTAGACTCCATTGGTTATTTTTAAGGGAAAGGAGAGATGAGGCATCATTTTATATGTCATGGACCAGCAAAAAATAGGTTCATTTTTATATTTACTATGAATTCATGTTAATGTCACCTATTACTATTGGCAAGTCATGCTGGAGAATGTCCTTATTTTTCCAGTGTTTACAAACCATTTACACATCTCATCATTCAAAGCCTGTGCATTCGCTAGTCCTCATGCCAATCATTGAAATTAGCACTGCCACCTCAGGCTGGTATCTTAGTGGGATTTAAATTGCCAGCTTGAAAGGACAAAGACCTGTTACTCTTGCCTGCTTACAAAGAATTACAGGAAGTATAATACAATAGTTCAATAAAAGACAAAATTGCAAGGCTGAAAAGGAATCACAAATATTTTCATTCTTATCATTGGCACTGCTTAATGTGCTGAATATATAGGTCTTTAGAAATTAATAAGTATTTGAACTTACATAAAATGAGCAGGTGGTCTCCATTTCACCAGACAGATGTTAGCATCACATCTAATGAAGCTAAACAGAACTACTGTCGATAGAAGGCTGTAAGTTTAACACTTTTCATGATCATTACATCCCTTCTAATAAATCAAGAGCTATACAGAAAAATACATGGCTATCCCTAGGAAGCAGAACACTTTCTAACATTGATTGTGCAGATGGTAGAAAGGGCTGCACTTCTCAAGGCCAGTTGCTAATTATCCTATATCAAATATGAATAGGATGAGTGCTGGGCAAATAACTGAGCAGAATGTTGATACTGGGAACCTCATCAAGAATTGGAAATCATTAAAAAATTAAACAGGGAGCTCTGACCTTTGAACTTCTGATCATTTCTTCCTTATGTCTTCATAGAAATGAGTTTATTCAAATCTATCTGCAAGTCCCTGCAATTTCACTGCTGATCATGTACTGAAGGGAGCTTTTCTGAGTGGGACAAAGCAACACATTGATAAGGCTGGGGTGCTTGGAAATTAATTTGCAATTAGAAGTATATCCATTTTATTCTAGCATCAGAAATTATATACAGAATTTTGGCATTAAAATGCTAGCAATGAAGCCATGTAAATGCTGAGAAAGGGTCCTTTTTACATGTGAGGGAGCATACAGGGTGAATGTTAATTCTGTTTAACAAATATAAGACTTCTGAGATGCTGTGTCTGTGGATTATGCCTATATACTTTGATAGTTGTAGCAGAGATATTATTTGTAATGTGTACTGCAGTTAGTCAAGGCAAAATTCACGTTAGGAAGTTGAAAATAAACATTTTCAGACAGACACAACATCAGATTACAACTTGAATAACTGCAGTATAACTGCCTAAAACTTTCTTGTCATTTCAATTCCTTAACATACCCATTACTTTTTTCTTGTTTGTATCCCTTACTTCTGCAAATATAAGCATCACTATATTTGTGAAAAAAATTATTCACCGTATGTGTATTTGCCAGCTCTGAATAGCAAATATATATGTGTATATAATTACCACTATTGCTTGTCTATTACTGAACAGTAAACTGGCAAAAAAAATTTCAAGCAAAGAGCAGTACTGGAACATTCAAAAAAAGTAGAGACATGCTTCTGTTTAGTTATAATTTATGAAATAAAGACCAAAACTGAGAAATTGCTTATTACAGAAAAACACAAACCAAAACAAAAACCCCACCCAAAACAAAACCCAAATAAAGAAACATTCTCCTTAAGCAGCTTTGGTTAAATTTTAAAACTCGCCACCTTAGGTACTGATATAATATCTTTTGAATATATTCCTAACATGATAGCTGTAGTTTGCAGACTCTGTTCTGTAGAACAGGAAAAAAAAAAATCACAAGGTCGAACCACTTCACTTTTAATGTGCACTGTCAAACCATAAAGATGAGAAACACTGCAGTCCTCTTGGCTTGTGATGGAAGTTGGTAAAATGTTTGTAGATAGAAAAAAAGATGAACAAACACTTCAGCATCGGCCAGTTCAGAGAAAATCAACATAAGATATTTTCATTGAAGTGAAATTATCTTTTTTTCCTCAAATAATCAGAGAAATCACTTTCCTCAAATAAATGGAGAATCATTTGCTGTTACATCCTGACTATGAAGCCATAGTTGTAAGAACCTACCTTGATTCAGCAATCACCTGGGAGAAGGGAATTCTGGCTCCCAGTTTCTGCGTCCAATTAATATCTGGATTATCTCCATCCTAAATACTTTGTAGTCATGTGGATTCAATCGTCAAGTGCAGTCAGAAACTGAAGCCAGGACTCCCACATTCCTCATGGGCTCTAAGCACCACTGTGCGATCGGATAAAATCAGGCACTTGCTAGATCGGTGCGACCCAGACTGAAGGGCAGACTGGGATTGCCTGATGTCTTCAACCCTTCTGGGAAAACAAGGGCAAAACCCCAAAAAAGCCTAACATTGTAGGCCAATGCATACAATAAACATTAAAGTCAAACCTGAACTATTGAATCCAGCGGAGAGGTAATTTACCCATGGATTCTGTATGTTAGCACCACTGTGAGATGCCAGGGTTGAAGACAAGCTATCAAACACTGCAGATGAATTTGCTGCATAAGGACTATCTCCCCTTACTTTCTGATGAGCATTTCTCAAAATGTGACTGCCCCAGGCAGGTGAATGCAGAGCAGGAGGAATCACGCACCATCCGTGCTCACCCTAGCACATCACACCTCTCAAGCACAGCCAGAGGAGGATTTTAAATGGGCAGATGGAACAGCTAAGCACCCTGAGGAGCCTTTGTGCCTTGTCTTTAATCTTACATATTTTCCATTGTGATTAACTTGCTGCTTGCTTAATCCATGAAGGATTTTATTAACAAAAAAGAGAAAAAATAAAGTTAATAACCTGTCATCTCCTCACTGATGAGGAAATGGTTCTTCAGTGTGGTAGATATTTTGAGCCGTTTACAATGCAGGGATTGAAAATTGAAGAGGTGTGTGCTAGACAAGTATTGCCTACAAGCACCTCATTCAAGTGCGTGAGGAATTGTCTCTCTTCCTACATTCTGCTTAGAAAGTGTAATGGTCTGAACTGCTTTGTTCTCCACATATATTAAAAGGAGATTCATCGCTGAGTTAAAGAAAATAACCAAGTACTGTCTCTACAGACTTTTAAATAACAGTTCCTCCCCTTTTACTCTTGGCATTGTTACAGATGAATAACAGAATATTGGACGCTTGCTACAGAGCCTTGGGTTGTTGCACTGCAGAGAAAATTTGACCTCTTTTAAAGAAGTTTGTAAGAGTTCCAGCAGGAAATATACCACTACTGAAGTCTCATTCTAATATCTGGATAAGTCTGCAGATCTGGCCAGGTTTTGTTTTCATTTTTGCACTGGAACTGTGAAAGTTTCTCATTTATACTTTGTAAGAAGCAATAAATAATCCTGTGTCTGATCAAGTGTGTTAATTTCAAATCTGAAACTTGAAACAGTTGATTATGCTGTGAGCGAAATATTCTGGGGGAAAAAAAAAAAGTAAATTCAGAAATGCTTAGCCCTGTGTAAAAGTAGCATTAATGACAAGAGGGGTCACAGTGCTACCAGAAGCTTCATACTCCAGGCAGACTTGTTTCAGTGACACTTATATGCAGAATATCTATGAGATTTTCCTCCTGGCTAAGGCTTGGTACTCATCTTAAACAAATGTATTTAATACTCTTCTTTCGGGCCAGTTATGGATTGAATCATTCATTAACTCTGGAAGCCTTCTTCAGGTTTGCTGAAAGAATTACTCTTTTAGATTTCTAATGATTTCTAATTAGATTACTAATGACTATAATATTGAGTTACTACCACTTTATTTACTGGAGATATTTTTTTCCTAGCGTACACAGTATTTTGAGTGCTCTGTCAGGAGTTTTCAATAGTAGCAAGGGCCAAGTTCAGAACTCAAGAGTTCTTAAAAACTTGAATTAAAACCAGCTTAATATTCCCATTCCTCCAAAAACAGGAGAAACATTTTTCTCAGGATCACTCACTGATACATTCCCAATTGCAACCAAAAGTTTTGGTATGAAACAAATAGTTTCATTAAATGGAACTGGAATACAGCATGAAACTGCAATATAGCACTAGTCGGAAAGAGTGTGAAAGTTAAAAGGCAGAGTGTGAAATTTAAAAAGTAAAATACATCTCCAAACAGGGCCTAGAACACCTGATTGTGGGTAGTGCTCCATACACATTGGGACAGGCTCCTCTCCAGTCTGCAGGAGAAAGCACTACTGCACTTCCTTGTCACCTGTACTGCCTGCTCAGCTCTCTCCTGCTGGGTGATGTCTTTAGAAGTGTCATCTCTGTGTGGGATTTTCATGCTGCTATGTAGGTGTCTCCTGGGGTGTCCACAGAGGTGCAGTCGCTGCTGCAGTTGCAAAAATAAAGCCATGTGTTCATCCAATCTGTTGGTGCTGGAGAAACAGAGATCTCAGGACAGCTCATTTAGATTCTGAAATCTTCTGCAAACTTCTCACTACCTCTCACCATGCTGCAAAGTCTCCCTTTTCATCCCTGCCCTTGTTCTTTGGAAGAGGCTTAATGGAATAGTAGAGTCCAATCTCCTGAAGATACATTTCTGTAATTAGTCAAAGACTCTGAACTCTTGTTTATGTCCTTAGTGCATCCTCTGGGCCATGCCTGGGTAAGTTGGTGTTGAGCATATGTTTCCATTCATTACTCAGAAAAGTAACATACCAAATGGGTAAAATTCAAATGGGTGTTTGCACTGCCACAGAGTTTGTTATTTGTTTTGTTTGTTCTTTCTCTTCTTGCAGCTGATCAATATATGAACAGATTTTCATCTGTCATCTATACTCAGCCAACTACTTCAAATAGCCACTGCAGTTAAACTTACCCACATTTTTCTTTGAAGTTGATTTAGGTTGCATTGTGAATGTTTTGGATATACTTACAAATTTACACTCATCTTTCATATGTATTTGTCATTTCATTTTGTACATGTAGATATCATTCAGGAGTTCCTTCTTGGTGACTTCTCATTTTGTGGATATTTTCTTAAGAAAACGTAACTCCAGGCATATTTGTATTAAGAAACTCAAGAATAATGTGATCGGTAAAAAAGTATAATGAAGTTGAAAGAATACAACTTCTAATCATTCAATAGTGTATTAGTTTGAGAACAATGATTTACTAAAACATGAAAAATAAAATAGATATTGTTCAGTTCTTGATATTTATTTTAATTCCAAATTATTATATTGTCCATGTGTCAGTCTTCTACGTAAGCTGCTTACAGAAAATACTCAAAACATTTTAGGAATATACATGGGGTTTTTTTACATTTAACAGAAGACATTAAAAGTCTTCTCTGGCATTATATTTTATGAATATATGCTTTAAGAGATGCGTGCAGTTTTAAGGGTTAGATCACAGATACCCATAATAAAATGCACTAAAAACATACTCTGATTCCTTAGTTCTGCCTTGGAACCAGACTGAGGGCTAAATATTGAAGGCTGTGCAATATCAATACCAAGATTTTTGAGAGAGGTAGAACATCATAATTTCTACAACTCTCCTCATATGGGTAACAATGAAATACCAGAAAGTTTGGCATAAAGCTGATCTTTTACTTTACTAAATAAAGTCAGATCACATTTCCTACAACAAGAGGGTGAAACCTTGTTTCTTGGAGGTGGCTTGATTTTTGTTGTCCCGTTCTTCCCCATAGATTTTTTGATAGCTTAGAAAAGAATGAGGTCTCCAAATACATGCCAGCACATCTGTGTCCCAGATAAAGAAAGTGATAAACAGTCCGTGATAAATGATATCTCAGGGAAGGATACCAGATATCTTGATGAGGACTAAAGAATTTCCATTTGGAGAACAAACACTATCAGAAAAAATGAAGATATGATAAAATAAAAAACATTCCAGGGACATGAGCAAAAGGGGAAGATGAGGAAATGCAACAGTTGTCTTTGAAACTGCACTGAAAGTGATTCTTTGCATGTTAATATTTTTCAACAAGAGTGTCTGTAGTTTTTATTGAAACATTTGCTGTCTGCGTTGGACTGTAAAAATATTCTAGTTAAGATGGATCACAAGTGTTTTCTTTCATTCAAATTTTGATATTCTGTGGATTAAATTGAATACAACTTTACAAGAACTATTAGAAGTGCTTTCCTCCTTTCAAAAAGCATCTCCCCCTCACTTTTTTTCTTTCGTCCCCAACAGCGGTAATTGCCAGTGAAAAGGAAAATAGCTTCATAACAACAAAGTTCCCATCATATGAACAGTTAATTCAGAATTTGATGGCACTTTACTGTCCTCACTAAGCATAATTCCCATTTAGAAAAGCCTTAACCCTAGAGCTAGAGTAGAAGCAGCAGTGCTTACTTTCGTATTTTTCTTCCTTAATCCAAGATAAATCTCTATAATTAGATTTGACTGCTTTTTAAAGGAACAGAAATGGCAAGTGGCTCTATCTTAAATTAAGAGATCTATTACCTTTGGTGTTCTAATTCTTCTCAGCAATGTGTTTTCTCAGGAGGCACTTTCTCATCCTTATGAAAACTAACTTACTGTAAGTGTAAAGGGAAAAACACATCATTGGAGTTATGTACTAAGTGACTGCATAAGGAAAATATATACAAGTTTAGAGCAATGGAAAATAATTGCCATGTATGTCATACATGAACATTTTATTAAAAAAATCCTGTAGCATAAGATACTCATCAAATAAGGCGTTTTTATTGAAGGCTACATTTTCATTCCCTCATGCAAATGGGATACTGGAAAGTAAAAAGTAGAGACTCACCTTTTATGCTTTCATGAGTTGAAGGTCTAAAAGCTTCATGGCACTTCTGGTACACCACAGCTTTGTACAGCCATATCCTAAAAACCCTCATGGCCACCAGTACAAAGTGGTATGCCCTGCCAGGTTATTAAAGCATGTATTTGCAGTTAAATGTTCATTCTTCTTGCTCCAAGGACTTTCTTTTCTTTTCCTGTGTCTTATAAGCTTCTCTTTTTAACTTCATTGTGTTTGTGCCCCATTCTGTCCTACTCTTTATATGGCTGTGGCTTTAAAACTGGACTTTAATGATCCTCTGATTTTGTACGCTCATCAGTCTTTCTCTTCCTAGTTAGACAAGCAGCAGATGTCCTCAGGTCTGTCAGTTAATTTGAGATTTTTCACGACCTGTTGTACCTCAGAATTACTGAATGCTGGCAGCATGTACAACAGTAACAATGCTGGAAGCTATCTGTTGGCTGATGCTGTGATTACAAATTCATTTATGTAACAGTAACCAATACCATTTATCTTCACTACTCACAACATTCGGTGGATGGTATGTACCTTATATTAAAAAGACCTGGATCCAAACTAAACCAGATTTCTTTCCAAGGACTGGAAAAAAAAAAAAAAGTACCTAACCAAGTGAAATATTACCCAAATGCAAAAATTATTTTCTCACTGGTCCCTCCTCCAAATGCTTAATTTTACTCATTCTGACAATTACTTCATCTAGGTAATGTAATGCATTCTATATTTCAATGGTTTTCAGACCTTTAAAATTAGGCTGTACAACCACACACTATCATACGTTGGCGGGATTTTAGAAGTCATCAACAGGCCAGATAGCTTAGGGTTGCTGAACACAAAGTATTTTGACTCTCCTAGCTAATTCCACTTATTTCAGCAGAGCTGTGCCAACAGTGAATCTGAGCTCTCTATCTAAATTTAATCTGTTCATTACCTCCGAAGACTATTGCTAATAAATAGGCAATCAAGTAGCTAGAAGGACAGAAAAGGGGGATACGATGTATAATAGGTAACCTTACAGAAGGCAATCAGAGCACTGATTCCTTTCCTTCCAAACAGAAGACAATAACAGTTCAAACTAATCACGATTCAAATTTTCTTTTCTACATTTAATTGATACTCTGGAGACTTCATTCAGCTCACTCTAAATCAGTCCCTTGGTAATTGACTTCACCAATAACTGGATCAACCTGCAGGTAAGAACTGGAACGGGATCTGCAGAGCATAAAGCCTCTGCTTTATACAGCAGTGAAAGTCGCTCCGATACATACACAGTATAAGCAATTGTTGAGAAAGGCTTCAGATGCCCCGACAACGTATTTTACCTTGAACTGGTAAAACATACTCAGTGTTTACCCAGCTCTTGGCTTCTTCACTGCTGCTACATTGAGAGTGACATTTGTGAAATGGATATCTTTCCCCAGGGAATGAAGTTAAGAACAATTCAGTTTACAAACTCTAGGCTAAAAAGGACTTTTCAGATAATGCTTCCAGTGAGGACTGACTGGGATGTCTCCTTAGGTGCAGTATACAACTCAGCTCTACACTCCTGTGGACTTCTGCCACCTGTCTGCTACTTTCTAGTCATTGCCAAATAAAATTCTATCTATTTAGAAAAGTTCACTAGACATTGCTATTTATAAGACCTTTCAAAGATGTAACGGAATGTGTCTGTTGGTCAAAGGAGAATCTTATCTCACTATGGTTTCTAAATCTGTGAGTTTTTCTGAGGAATGGAGTGTTGAAATCTGATTGCTGAGGCTGTGCAACAAGAATGAAAGCTAAAGAGAAAGATTAAAGATGTGTAAAGTTCAGGTGTATCTTTACTATCTTTCTCAGCACATTGACATAGGGATTAAATACAGTTTCTCAGAAAAGTGAAAAAATTTTAATAGAGTCTGGTCAGAATTAGGTAATGTAAGGCTTGTTATCCTCACACCTAAGAGAAGAATATTCTATCATGAAACAGAATAGCCCTTGAAGTAGGATATTCAGTAATAACATTCTTAAAAGTGACTGGTTGGTTTTTTATCAGACTTCAGAATTTATTTTTTTTTTCTTTATTTCCTCTTCAGGGAAACGTACCAAGTTTTGGTGTCCTTGTGCTGCTGTCTCTATGTTCCAACTGTTCTCCTTTAGAAACTGTATTTTTCTTGTTCTGTCCTCACACTAAATACCTACAATGCCATACGAAGCTCTTCCATTTTGCAATAGCAGTAGAGATCAATAATCTAATGTGGGGCATAAGCTTCCATTTTACTAGACCATCATGGCCAAACCATTTTGTCTTTGTCATGTACATGACTCTAGCATATGGCTAATGACCAACATGTGGTTAAAGTTCACTGGTAGGAAACTGTAACTCTTGTCTGCTGCAGTTACTTTAGAAACCTGCAGCATAAATTTCAGTGCGTAACCCGGGGGGCAGGGGGGCAGGCCTAAGAAGAACAAATTCAGAATGGTCCAGGTCTACACAGCATTTCCCTTAAGCTAATACGACTTTTCTTCATAAGGCTATTAGATACATTAATATGGGTATTTGATTCTTTGAACACTTCTATTTTCTGTCTGATGACTCATAATGGAATTAACTCCAAGCCTTTCCCATGGCTGTTTTTAGTGGTTGAATACTCCATCAGAAAAGGTGTGGGGTACAACTGAGAAGGGAACTGGTGAATTGTAAAGAGGGAAGGCCATTTGAGCCTAAAGTACGTTTGCATTTCAGAAGATCAGAGTAAATCATGTGCACTTAACTGGCACTTGCTTTTTTAATTTAATTAATGCTAGAAAGACACTTTAAACCATAGTGCTCTAAAGGTGCTTGGAAGAAAAAAAATTGTCCCCCAAGTGTCTGATGTGAAGAGTCCCTGGGTGACACTCAGAGTAATGCACTTTTTGAGCACTTCAACTTACTCGTGTCTTTCAGCGCTTAATCAACATAATTTGACACAATTATAGATATAAACACTTTATAAGCACTTGGTACAAGGAGTGTCAAAAAAGTGCTGATCTACACCAGTTTCTAGTGAAAACAAAAAGCTCTAGCACAGGACTCAAGCAAGTGCTTAAGACTGTTCCACGCTATCAATAACCTTCAAAGAAGAACCAAAAAAAGAAAAAGAAAAAAGTGTTTCCAAAGTGTTCTCTGGATAGAGTCTTTAAAGACTTTATACATCCACATAGCAGGCTACTTAAAATAACCAAAATTGTCTGAAACATACACTCAGAGTTATTCAATTCAGCTGCTCATTGAGTAGCTGCAATGACTGGGTAAGTAAGTCAGCCGTATTTGAAAGAAAAGAGGAGAAACAAAAATGGTGCCATTCAGAACAATTCTCATCTTATGTATCATATTTACATGTTAGATCTTCCAAAAGAGCATTGAGAATACGTAGCTTGGGATGTAGCACAGGCCCTCATAAACATAGTTCTTAAGGTAAGACTGAGTGCAGGTATGCCATGAGAGCCTGTACCTTAAGAGTTTTTTCTGTTTATTCTCCTAACTTAGTTGAGAAAATATTCTGGAAAAAAAAAGCCCACATGAAATGCAGTTTATTTCCTTGCTACAGCTAGTGAGTTCTCCACTTGGTTAATGCACATGAGAGTGCTTCTTTTGAAGAGAATGTTGTTCTGCCAGAACACTGAGGACAGGTTCTAAAAGGCAGAGTCTGACCAGCAGTGAACCTTCATTAAATGCCTGCACATACATTCCATTTCTTATCTGAGCAACAGATCCAGGTTTTGTGCTAAAAGTTTGTTCTGTTCAGTGGGGAAAAGAGCAACAGCACAAAGCTTAGGTTTCCTCACAGGACACTGTAATATCACCTCTCCCTCTCTTTTGTAGAAACTGGTTTTAATTATTAGCTTTCTAATTAATAACTTTTGTGCAGTCCGTCATTTCAAATCAGAGTGAGGATTATGTTTTATATGGTAAAAAGATGTGTGTCTAAAGATTTATTTGAAATAAAAGCATAAAAACACAGCAAGCCTTTTTTCTGTTTTCCCTTCATATTTGTAATTCAGCGTGCATTTACTGAAGTCACAAGCTGTGTTTTTGCAATGTGAGTGAGGCACATAAACTCTGATACATATTATCTCTTTGTATATGAATTAGGTCAGCTAAATTTATGAATATATCACCTGACAGTTACATTAATCGTCTTAACACTTTGTGATCTTTTTGCCAGTAAAGTGGAATGACAATTTGATCATATTCAAGATCAGTTATCACATTTAGAAGACAGTATCTATGTAAACTAAATAAACAAAATGTAAAAGGTGACATTTTCAAAGTTATAACTTACTTTCACTAGGGTTAGCACCTAACTGCTTTTGAAAATAACCCTTTAGAAATTGTTCCTATTTACCTTGTTAAGTGTTGGAAGTGTGTTCTTGCATGGTCCATCCATTTTGATACAGGATATACCTGATGTGCCTTGAAAAAATCTCCACTGTGTGCAATTGCTGGAACATTACTTGTCGAAACCAGACCAGAACATCTCTTCTTTTAGTTTTGGAATGAGGCAGGGAGTGGTGTATAACTGAGGATCCTAAAAAAAACTGGAACAAAATAGTTCTAAGAAAAAGCACCAAAAGAACAAAAAAAAATTGGAGGCAGTAGGAATTATAGGATCATCTGAAAAAAATCAAACCAATTTTTCAGGCACCTACCAGCAGGGACTGCAAAAACTGTGGTCTTCCTTTTTCTGTCTGAAATTTGCCATCTACCAATTTAAGGCACTCTTGTAGCAAAGCACTTAAGCACTGCTCAAATCCTCTTGAAGTCAAAGGGATTTAAGTAAGTGAATAAAATTATGTGCATACTGAAGTACTTGGCTGCACTGGGTTGTATTGTTGAATTTGGCCATGGACAATTTTAAGATTACTCCAAGACTGAAACTGCTATCTGTAATTTCCTTGACAAAAGAAGATGTATTCTGCATTTCCTCCTTTAATACATTTGAGATAAATAGAACAGAAACAGCTAAAATTGGTTATTTTACAGGAGTAGAGAGAAGGAAGAGATATCCTCCAAGAGAAAAAACGCAAACTGTTTTTTATTCCCTTCCTGGATAAATATGTTTCAGGTTTTTGATCCATCTTTTTTAACACCAGTGTCTTCACAGTCAAGCGTTCTGTCTCTCTACCAAGTTGCACATTATGTCTCTCAAGTTTTTGGGTGTTGCTGTGCAAAACGCTAACGGTTAGAGATTTTCTTTTTCTTAACAACCCTTCTCTCCTGAATTCAACTGCAGTTGAGGAAAAGTCTATAACTGTGATTGAAAAAGCTCCAGCCTTCCTACTATCTAACCACAGAGGTATTTCTTTGTTTGACTTAGCCTAATTCCTCTAGGATCTAAGAGTCTGTTTCAGAGCATGTTCAAAACTATTCCAGTTTTAGCAGTTCATTTAGTTTGTCTTAAGCTTGAAAGGAATCCAAAAATTATGCAGAGGATTCCTTAAATCCTGAAGGGTGCAATCCAGGGGGGGTGGGGTGGTGGTGGAAAATATACATAATGTACAAGCAGAATTTACTCTCAATGAAAGTACAGCTAAATATCCTTTCATAATGACTGCAAGAAAAGGATGGTGTAATAGCTTAACAGGGAGAGCACTCACCGCAAATAGGAAATGTGTTAAATTCCTTCTTCATCCTGAGAGGTTTTACATGTATATCTCACAGCAAAAAACCTCACACTTAGCTATGAGGTTTCTTCTCCACAGGGTACATTTGAAAAGAAAACCGCTAATGTTCTTTATTTCAAAGAACAGTTCTAGGTGTATAACTTGAGGAGCTTTGGGACTGCATATCCCAAGCAGACAGAGCTTGACTGTAAAAGTCCAGGGCAACTTAGCCTTAAACAGAGGAGGAAAGCAGATTTCTTGAAACATCTTGCCACATAGCCTCATATGCCTCTACTTACCACACAGGTGTTTAGATAACATTTCTTAGGACATAATTTTAGTCAGGAAATGTAGGAGAGATTGCATGTCCAGAGATTAGACACCTAAAAGTTAGTTTCTGAGCAAAACCACTTTTGGATGGTTATGGTTTATACTCAACTTACCTATTAGAACATAGATTTAGTCCTCCTCATGCAACAAAAGGTTTCAACTCAGCAGCTGATGTGACTGTAACTTTTTTTCTTACTAGAAAGTAATGATAGAAACAGGTGGTTTGGATTTTTGTTGTTGTTGTTTGTTTGTTTTTTCTTTTTTAAACAGAAGTAATGTAAAAAGTTACTGGGTTTTATACTATTTTATTCACCTAATTCCAATAGCAAAAAATATCTCTTCCGTATCTGGTTAATTAAATAAAACTCTGTGGTGGAACAGTTGATCTAGATGACAACTATCTGTCAGTCCTCAGCTGCCACTATTTCATCAAAACACTCTGGAACTGTGGGACTATGCCAGTTATATGACAAATAGGTAGCATTTAAACATGGACTTTATGTATAGCACAATGCCAGATTTCTTAATAAAAGCAGTCCTGGAACAATCAACCTCATCGCCTTGCTAATTTTCAAACATTGAATTCATCTAGCATATATTATAAATCATTTTCTTCCCCAGACAATAGGCATTTGGGATCCTCTGGCATTCCAAGGCCCTTTACTCACAAAAGGTCTAATTTTATTCCACTCATAGATTGTTCTTTTTTTTTTCTATCTCCTTGCAGCTTTAGTCATAAAATAACCTTTTGCTTGAAAGAAATGCATTAATTGAATACATAAATACCATTAATGAGTAGGAGGGGATGTGGAAATGACAATATACTAAGAAGACAATTATAAGTTAAAATTGCAGATACATAAAGACACTGATGGAATGATTATTACTGTGCTGATCTATGTATATATACACACCCTTATGATGGAAATGATATAATATTACTTGGTTGGACTATGTATCCTATGACTGTGCTTGTGTTAATCAATGAAAGGGTTATAGTTTGGCATGGATATGACAACAGAACACAGCACTCCAGTGGAAAATGTAAAGCAACACAATCAGTCCCACTTAAAACATCATGCAGTCATTACGTTTTGGGAAGCAAACACATTTGTTCAGCATCTATCTTAATATTTTGCATGTGATTAGCTTAGCTCTGTCACACTGTGTAAGCATGCCAATAACATATTGTTGAAGCGATATCAGCATAAATGAAGCTTTTGTTTTGATTTGGGTTTTTTTTCTCAAGGGCAGTAAGAAGCATCCAGTAAATTGTGCTATATCTAGGCCTCTAGCCTGAACTGCAATCTCAGATACTTATGGAAATCAGGCACAGCTGGAGTTGATTCTCATTTACCTTCTCTGTGCAGCTGGATTTAATTCACAATTACCTTTTCTATGTCTTTGTCCAAAAAGAATATACTCAACGGTTGTTGATTTTTTTTCTAAGACATTACCATACTCGGGTTTTTCTTACCATTAGGAGGTTTTGATGATGGTATTGACACGTATAACTTATTTAAATAGGCTGAGTTATGTTCAAACCTTCAGTTACTTCCATGGTCTGCTTCATTTATTACTTGCCACAGGTACATTCTTCTACTTCCAGCCCAAATTTTTCTTAGGTACTGACTGGCCAGTATGGACAAACAGCTGCTTACAGCTGCTAAATAGAAGGCAAGAAAATCCTATCATCCCTTCCCTTAAGCCTGTCACATGTTGTTATTAAAACTCAATGCTTCCCTCTTGCCAAAGAGGAAACCCAAATTGCAATAACATAAACTTAAAAATGCTCTGTTGTGCAGATTTTCTCTCTCTCCTCAAATCACTCTTATCAATCTACTTGTTTCTTCTTTATTCTCTTCCTCCCCACAACCCTACTGCTTATAATGAAAAGAGTCTGCAGGCACACCGAACAGAGCGGCTGAAGCCAATCTGAGGGAAACAGATTTGTCAGAAGCACCACAGAGCTCAGCGACAGAAGCACAGCGATGGGTGTCAGATATAGCTGCTGCAAATCTCATAGAAACACGATGGTTGGCTCATACTCTGGAGCAGATTTCTGATTGAAATGGATGGGGAAAAAGCTATGCAGGCAATCACAATCAGTTCATATGATGCCGTAATGTGCCACATTCCCTCGTGCTGGTAGGTGAGAGGTGGAGAGCTTCTGGACATCATCCAGAAAACCTGTGGTTTTATACAAAATAGAAGGTTATTTTTTGTTGTCTTAAAAGATTATACAATTTATTAAATTCATTACTATATTGATCAAACTTATTAATTATCAAATTCACGTATCATCTTTAAACTTGCAGTAATTTTCTTCAATTAAAATATTCTCATAGCTATTTTATGAAAATGGGTATGTAGTATGTAGTATCACTGTGCAGCAAGTATATCAGAGTAAGAAATAAAAATTAAGCCGTCTTAAGTGGCATGAAAATCCACTGGACTGTGTTAACAACGACTCTCTAGATAGGTGAGACACGATTTTAAGAGATGATATCAAGGTCTGAACATTGTCCACAGTGATTTTAAATATTAATGAAGCATCACTGTGTAGCTCTGCATATCCAAAGATGAATTCCAGTTTAGTTTTATGTAGCTGAATAATTAATCTTTATTACCTTATAATCAAGGTTCTGAGTTTTTTAACATTTACATGATTGTTTCATGCATACAGGATCATTTTGCAGGTCATTCCTTTGTTTTTAACAGTTTGCTCCTCCATTATGAAGAACTGCCTATCTAACCACCCCTCATTGCATTGGAATTTAGCTTTTGTGAGTTGGATTAGATCATATTTTCAACATTGAAAAATTACCTGGTGACTGTATTTTTGGTGACAAGTCTTTTGCTATTCTTTCACATCTTTTTTTCAGATAAGAATAACAATTATCACTTGTTTAGGTGATTACTTACTTTCTCAGTATACATAGGGTCATAGCTATTTTCCAGGCAAGCAATACAAAACCTCATAAATAGAAAAAAAAACAAAGGCAAATATATTTCTAACCAAAGACTTTATATCCTTAACTGTTCTATATTTAAGGCACAGTACCTGAAGGTATTAGGAATGGACATCTGCCTCTAGAACTGTGTTCCCAGTTACCACCTGCCAGAAAGGTTTTCCATTGAGCTTTTACAGTGTTTTTGCAGCCTATGTATATAGGCCACAAGGGAGCAAGATATAAGGCAGAAAGGACTGGCATGTACAATACCTCTCAGAAGAGTTTTGATTTAAGGCATGCCTGCATAATAAGATCAACAAAAAAGGACAAGTCTACTCATTAGCAAAGTATCATCTAGTTACAAGACAATAATCCTTGTGAGCACTGATTTTTACCTAAATAATGGAAAAATATCCCTCATCTACTCCATAGCACTTATGTGAAACATGAAGGACACCACCAAACTCAGAAGAGAATCAGCAGCAGCATTACATATTGTCAAAGAACTTGGAGTTTCCACTCAGAGTTATTTTCTTGTAAATCTTTCGAGACACACATGAAGCTCTGGAGATCTTTCTGGTATTGCGAACTGTTCCTTTATCTTCAAGCAAAACAACTGTAATAATACAATCCTTAACATCTTGAAGTCTGCAAAGAGTTCACAATGACCACTTCAAAAAGTATTTTCTAGAAAACATATTCCTTGTAAAATTGCAAAAGCTTAGGATAGTTTACTAGAGTGATCATGGAATTTACTAGAAAAATCAGAAAATTCTAGCAATGTAACTGACTGTTTTGTCTGTCCTAAAAAAAAAAAAAAATAAATCTTTTAAACATTAAATCAAATGAAATGAATAACCAATATTTTAGCTAATAAAAATCGTTCATTCTCCAGTTATGTAAATAAATGTTCTAAACAGTGGAAAAGCTCCTACCATCTAAGATCTACTAAATCTGAAAAAATTCCAATATATTATCTAGGTGATTTTGAAATACACCTCACATACTTTTGGATCAAGAAGAATTTAACCAAGTATTTGATCTGCTATTTATCTAAACTAATAATTGTATGATGACTATCATTCCCAGCGCATTTTGTAACACATATAAAGCTAAGGTAAAAGGATATCGTTTCACACTGAGTGACATGAGTAACTAACTGTTATAGTGGATGAAGACAAAAGCAAATCCTTTGGTTTTATAGGCAAGACATTGTGAAAGAATCAGACCAAACTCCATGAATGCTAGACAGAACTTCAAACTTTGGACTTGAGGTTTATAGGCATTTCAAATTAGTTCTATACCTTTCTGTGTTCTGTTCAGCTTGAGGAAATATGGTCAAAACTGTGCACATACAGATGACAAAATATATTCTAAACATAATTGTGAACCTGCAAGGTATTAAAGAGTTAATGTGGATCAAAGTATATGAAAAATCTCTCAGTTTGTATTCATTTATCCCCCACAGAAAGAATTCTGACCTGTTGCTTCACTTTCCAAGTTAGTTCATAGTATAAACTGTTAAAGGGCAACAAAAGTAAATCAAAAGAATGTTCCATCTTACAAAGTATTCAGCAAAATGATTTTGAACAGTGGCTAGTTCAATGAAGTGAGAGGTAATTTTGAATTAATTTTTAAAATCAGTGTAATCACTGGCTAAGGCAACAACATTTTTCTTTAAGCAATTTGGATAAAAATTTCCTATTACATTGAGACTCCCTTTCTGTAGTCCCTTTCAGACACATCAGTCAGAGTAACATCTTTATACTGTTTGCTGTCATTCATTCCAAACAGGTTCACTAACAGTTGCCAGGGAGGGATCAGGTCTAGCCTAGGGAAGTAGGATGGAACAAAAACCAAAACCAACCTACCAAGAGAGTCATATTACAATTGCACTTAGTGCATGAATTTTACTGGAAAGATGTTCCAGATGCAGATTTACTTATAGAAGAAAATGGACATTTCTTTCAAATGACTGCATCACTGCATGAGCTCCATTAAATCCTACTGAAATGAACTGGGCAAACTCATCATTAAAAATCATATACAGTAAGAAGTAGGGCTCACCCCTTTCTTGCTTTTAAAAGTGTTTCCTTCTTTAAGCTTTGAACTTAGTCCCATTATATCAAACGTACCCATTAAAAAGGAAATCAACCCACATGTTCAAATTACTGACATTTACCCTACAAGGAAAAGAATCAGTATTGTAAACTTGGGTCATGAGCATACTTTTCTTGTATGTTACAAAGCTTTGGGTATCTTGTGATCACAGTTAAACAATAACTCTAGTAGGCAAGAAACAAAGCCTTGTTATATTATGAAAACATCAACACATATCAAACAATTGAATTAGACTTCATAGGTATAATAATTAATATGTGCAAAAAGGAGAACAAAAGATCAAAACAACTTAATTAAATGTCAGACTTTACAAACATATCCTCACCTATGATACACAGACTTAAAAGCATGTAGGCAAGACTCACAGTAGGAACCACTCTTTGGTTTTATTAATTACTGGAATAGTTAAATAGCATTTACTGAAGAAAATATAGGATCATTTAATGGAAATGCAGAAATTCATAACAACCTCCAAGGTGTAAAATAAGAAGTGATTTGATCTTGAACCAATTATAGCTGTTAAAAACATTCTTGGAAAACTTCCAAGATTAATTCCAAAAGATTTTTTTTTAAAGAACAAAAATACATTCTGAGTGATTTAAGCAAAAATGACTACATAAAATTTACAAAAAGTACAAAAAGTAAACTCATATTAATTTTAAATTGGGAAAATATCTCAGATGTGAGTTGTGCAAATTAGAACACTGTGGCAAGTTCTAATTCACACAGCTCCTTAAACAGTAGAAAATGCAAGGCTGCTTTGTCTTGGCATAGTTCTGGGGTAATATTTTTTAAATGTTTTCATTTGGAACTCTTTTTAAAAATATTAGGTACAAATATACATTTCTCTAAAACATTACTAGGGTTCGTAGAGCTGTGAATTAATTTCTTACATGCATGAAAGACTAATGGAATGATTTCAGGGCAGTCAGGTACAGAAGGACATACCCAAGACTCCTGCTGAATTCCTGTCAATGGACCTCCACAAGCTAAACCTTGGCTTCTTCAGTGAGGACGCATGGAGATACACAGGCATTGAACATATCTATTGTACTAAACCCAAGACCAGCTGGAATTCCAATTCATGAAACAAATGGCACCTTTACAGTCTCTTAATTAGTTGTTATAAACCCTTAGCAGTTAGGAGATTCTTCATGTGAAGACCAAAAAATTATAATCCTACTTTATATAAACATCATTCTCATTCAAAAAAATACTAATTTAAATTCAGAAATAGAACTGTAAGGGATCTAGCCCCAAATTCACAGATATCAGAAATGTATTTCCATTGTATTAGAGGATATGAATGAAATTTGAGACAACAAATCTCAGGACATGGAGTTAATTAAGAACTGAGCCGGAACAAAGCTCATGGCTTCCAAATCGGAAGCTAATGTGTTGCCAGCTGGAATGTATGGCCCCCCAATGGTAAGGCTGAAAATTCATATTTGTAAACTGTGTTTCCCCATGTTTTCTCTGCTCTGGAGAAACCCAGAACTGTAAAAGATAACAGAGCAATAAATTGCAATTAGTGCAGAGTTGAAGAGAATGCTTCCCCCTAACACCCCCTCCTTTCCACAATGTAAGGCAAAAGGGTAAATGAGGTTAGAATAGTAAGTGAAGCCCTTCCCCTCCTCCCCAAACCCCCTCCTCCCCACCCCCCACCCCCCACCCCCAAGTAGTAGTTTTTTCTTATGCAAATAATTTGTACATAGATTCTATCTCCTTCTGCATGGGTCCACCAAAAGTTTTTAATTTCTTAACCAAATTTGACAGAAGATGGAGTTGTTAAAGATCGCTAACAGCACTCAAATTTTATGAAAATAGCCAGGCCAAGTAGTAAAGCAGCATCTATATAAGTTACAGCATAGCCACAAATGACACCAGATGGAAGAAAGCCCTATAAAATCTCATCAGTGAGCTACACTTTAGCTCAATCTTGTATTTTTGTAAACAGGAGTGTCAAACAACTAGAAGACACAAATCCATAGAAAATTGCAGTTAATTTATCCCGGAGCTTATGGAATTATTTGTCATTTCATTGTACGAACAGACTGACTAGCAGATTTTTAAAGTACCTAGGGATACTGTGGTGGTCATTGTGGTTTATGCCTGTACTAGAGCACTGAGAAATCACAGCACACGCTACAGAGCTGTTCTAGCAGGCTGGGAATTCATAATGTTAGTGGATTAGCTGCCTTTTGAAAATGGTCTCCAGGCTTCTCTGACATGATGTAGTATTATAAAACCAGTCTGATATTTTTTCCATGAGCAGAGAATTGAATGGCCATAAAATAACTGGTTACTGGTACATGAATCCCTTTGAATATGTTTTATATTTATATTATTTAAGTAACTAGGGAACTGTTTTTCCAGTTTCCTTTACAAACTCAGAAAGTTAAGAATCAGCTTTAGAAAAACTTCAGAGACAGCATGGTGATTGATACTCATTTACATATAGAGACTTGGACAAAGACATTAGGTGTGGTTTAGATTAATTTGGAACAGATGTATAACTCATGACTGAAGAAAAGCTCTATCTCACAAATTTAATTAAATGATAAGATTCAGAGAAATCTGTCAATAAAGCCCAAACATTCTGTGTCTGAAGAACTACAACACTGTTGCACATATGGTAGCAAACTGCATGTTCATAAAATGGGATGTTACCAATATACCACGTTACATTCATGAATCCCTGAAAAAGGTCCTTCCCTGTGTTGGGAAAGAGGAAGAGATCAAAGAAATCTACAAGTGCCAAATAGACCCCTCCCTGCAACGAGATGCTAATTCCACATTTATACACTTTCACCTTATTCCTCCCAAACTAGTAAACCACTAAAGAGAAGAGGAAGCAGCATTATACTGCCATGAAAAACAACCATTGTTTCTGCAATT